AAATACTGACCGGACGGAAAAACTGACCGTTTGAAAAATATAATAATATAAGCATAACGCCGTCGACGGTATTGTTTTTGTTATTGTTGTTGTTGTTGGTAGTACTGGACGCGCGCGTATATGCGGAGGCCCTGTCTCGTCCCGTGACCGCGAAAGGGGGAGGATGGTATACGCGTACGGTAGTCGGTGCCGGTAGTAGTAGCAGTGTTATAGTAGCAGACAGCTGCGGTGATCGCTTCGTGTCAGTGTCGTTTCCGTCACGTTCAGTTTACCGTACTATAATATTTTGAAAACAACTCGACCGTTCCGTGGTCGTGTTCGTTGCGTTCGTTTTCCACTCCTCAGTCGTTTCCCACTGGAAGTTCACTCGCGGTGCGTCTTTTCAACGTGCCATGACAACAGCCGCCAGTGCACCACCACCACCACCACCGTAACTCAAGCAGTCGTATTCGTAGTCCGCGAGTCGTAATCGTATTTGCAGTCGTCTCATAGTCGTCGCCTGCAACATGTTGAAGCTGTTGGGCGGGCTCAAGGAGTTCGTCAGACGGCAACCGGTGACCATCGATGGCACCGTTTTCCGGGTGCACGTGACGTTCACCACGGTCGCGCTGCTTGCGTGCTCGATAATGGTGACGGCTACGCAGTACGTGGGCAACCCGATCCAGTGCATCGTGGACGGACTACCCACCAGGCCGGTGAACACGTATTGCTGGATCACGTCCACGTTCACCATGCCGGACGCGTTCCTCAGGGAACAGGGCGTAGGCGCCGCGCACCCTGGCGTGGGGCCCGAAAACGGCGAACCTCCCAAGTACTACACGTACTACCAGTGGGTGTGCTTCGCCCTGTTCTTCCAGGGTATGATGTGCTACTTCCCCAAGTGGATATGGGACATGCAGGAGGGCGCGCTAATGTCCACGCTGGTCATGGGCCTGCAGTTCGGTCTGGGCAACGAGAAGGAACGCGARAAGCAGAAGAAGATACTCGTCCACTACATGCTCACCCACATAAGAGTGAGTACTTACCTTTCGTGCGCGAGGCGATTTACACACACGTACACTTGGCACACCCGTCTTTGGCTGACCATTGCAAATGTCACCACGTATCACTATAATATATATTATAGGTAATATATCGCCATAACGTATAACTCATCAACTCACCCTTTGCGGCGTCCTCTACTCGAATTTTACCACCCCCCCATATCGCCTTTTAGGTGGAGACTGCTGGACGGATAAATTATCCACGACAGTTTTATTGGCAGTCAGGTCACTGCTGTAGTGTGATGATATTGTATATTGTGTAGTCGTGTGACCGTTTTATACGCGTATTTATCGCTCGATGATGGTAACATTTGTAAAATCTACAAAAAAATAATATAGTACAAATTGTTACAAAACTATTTAAATACTCATCAAAATATTATCCAAGTTTTTTGTCATTATTAGTATATAAGTAATGAGTATTATAACTATATTGTTGTGTAAACAAGTTTACACGTTATACGACCGCGCTAATAAACTTATCGAATTTCACATTATATGACCGWTGTTTGTTTTACTGTCATAATCTTATTGACACAATATGATKGAATACAATATGTGAAAGCAACAGAACGCCTTGTGTTATCCAAATAATAAAACGTATTGTGCCGATTGTGATTATCATACATATATATTATGTTATATTATAACGGTTTTTTACAAATTGTCGAAGTCGATAATAAATATTTTACAGACGATTCGACAAACTGTGCCGTGGTACTGGAAAATGTTACGGACCAAGACGTTTCTCATCCGGTCAAAAAACTGCACAAAAAATTGAATCTAAATATATATATATATATATTGTTATATATTGTTATATATATATAATATATATTGTTGTGTTGTTGGCAAACCTTATTGGTAACGTAATATAATAACGAAAAGAAACAGTTTCGTTGTTTAGAAATTTCAAATAATGTAATATACTACAACTATATGTACTTAATTGTAGCCAAAACCATTATTTTTGTATTTTTCAATAAGACTAAAGTTGAAACCGATAGAATAAAACGTTGTTGCGTTGCTTATTATCTATGATTTTTTTCTATACATTTTTAGTTTTAATTTCATTTGCCTCATTTATTTTACCAAAATAATGCATATCTCTATGAATAATTGTAATTTTACAACATACTAGTATGYAGTTTTCATGTGAAAAATACTACAAAATATAATATAGAACATAACCACAATTCCCATGTATACAGGGGTTCAATTAAAGAAAAATTACACAACTACAGAAAATTTATAAACTATTAAGAAGATGAAAGTCTATTTAGAATTGATATTTTGATATTTACATTATATTTATAAATCSCTTCAATTAATATTCATATATATAAAAAACAAATGTATAGATAAGCTTTGCAAAATCATTGGATTTAAAAGAATTTATAAAAAATAAGCTTTTTATAACAAAAAATCATTAAAAATGTATAAAAATATAAAAAATTAAAGTATCATATTCAATTGTATATCTTTATTGGTATTGAATGTGAAATCCATATTTTTATAAACATTTAAAAACAAGCAATTTTCCGCTAAAAATAGGGTAAATAAGATATCAAATTAAGAACTGTAATGATATCTAATATTAATATAATATTTTTTTGTGTACACWGAGTTGTCGTGGTATGATATATATAGCGATTCATTCGTTTTAGCGAGAACCGTGACACTATAATATTGTTCGTAAATCACATCATTTTTAGTTTTCAATTTGGCAATGTCAGGAATTTTATTTTTATGTAATTGCAGCAATTATATATTTCTCATTGAAACATTATATTTGTAGGCATGCCACGTTGTTGAGTTCAGTGGATATAGATGMTCAACGAAATGGAATTTTAACGTTCGCGTGACATCGCCACATCGGAATTATGTCATTTTCTAAGTGATTCAAGTGAATAGTTAATATTATAATATACATTTCTCAATGCGTATTTCTCAAAACCTTTAGACCGGTAGGCTATTATTTAAATAATTCCTTGTACCTATGGTGTATTGTTGTTTAGAGATATAAATTATTCGATAGTGTTTAATTATTAAATTTACGTTAATTTACGAACTCTAACCTCGGTTACAATGCCATTACTGATTCAATAAACATCGTAATTTATAGAACAACATACCACCGCTGACCACTGTCGACATTTATTTGTTCGGTCCACTATTGTTTTAATGTAGAGCGTTGAAAATAAATACGCTTTGTGGTACCGTGTCTTTCCGAGGTGCATTCACCTAAATTATATCTATAGAAAGTGCTGCGTGCAAGTTGTTCAAATAATATTCAAACCGACGAAATCGTAAAAAGATACATTATACTCGTAATACAACATATAATATAGAAGATACGCATTTTGTATATATGAACGCCTACGTAACGTTTAACACAATAATTATGATGTACCAGCAATCATAAACAGTATATCAACACGATAATTATACAGAAATCGATAGAACACAAACGCGTACGACACATATATACGTATTATACATTATGTATATGTAGGTATCTCTGGCCATAATAATAGTATCGTTTAGACGTCGAATAACTTGTAGTGCGTACATGCAGTGTGTCGCGTATGTTCAATAGTTTCCACGGACTATAATTTGACTCACTAATAATAATAYGATGTGTAACATAGGTAGGCATTCTTGTCGAMATTTTCGTAGGTCGCCGCACAGAAAATCCRTATCTCGTCTCCGTATAGTCTCGGTGTGTAAATTAGAGCCGAATAATAAWACGTATTATTAATTATRCAATGACGCGCCTAGAGAGTCTAAGACGATATAGGTAGGTACGCTCCGACAAATCGCTGATGTAGAAGTTGATAATAATATATTATACATATTAGTGTTTTTGAATACGAGAAAAAACTTGTAATTTCCGTGTACATTGTTAGATAGTYGGTTGACGAGTGGCATTTCGGACATCGTTTTTTTCGTTCAATTGTTAATTTTCGGCGATTTGCATTCTGCGCGGGCAGTTTATAATACAATACCTAAAGTTATGCGTTTCAAACACAATCTTAAAAATATCTAAATAGGTATTATAATACAAGTCGAGACGGTCTGACGCGTGTGTAGATTATTGTATAGTATTATATGTATTTATATCACACAAACGCCAGCATCAATTACCAATYACCTCTTGATTCTCGATTTGATATTTTTCCGTACTCACTAGGTAACGATAATTGTTAGCGTTGTTGCCGTTGTTCCCTGCAAACGGYGTGCGATTGAAAGACAATAGTTCCGTGACGTAATGTATTGTTTTGTTCACAGTTTATATAGTTACAACTATACTGTATACGATAATAATCTAATCGTCCACATAAATGTTATGCATATTTTCAGTCATAAATTATTATAATAAATCTAATCTGTTTAATCAGGTGTGGACTAGATAGGATACTGGGATTCTACAGCATCCCTCGCCCTAAAATATATTTGATCTGATTTATTTTTAATCTCTAATATTGTACAATTTTGGTACCTATATAAACTGTTACTAAATTTCATTTAAGTCGTTATTGTAATGCCAGTTCGTTCAAGTCGCATATGGATATGGTCCCACTATACTTTTACATGTCATATCGAACGAGATATTTTATATTTTTGATTACCTACATATTATAATGACATTTTATAATATTTAACGACAAATTAACAGTTATGAATTTCAAGTAGGTACGTGTACGTTCATCAAACATTGTTTATCGATAACTGCAGCGAGAAAAAAAATGTATGATGGTTAAACTGTAGTATGGTTATACTTAGTATATTTTTATAATTAAATCTGTTCAGATAGCAAAAAGAGAAATCTGAACACGAGTTATACGTTTCAAAAAATTTGAAAAATGTACTCAAACGAARATTTTTTTCAGAAACACACCTGGTACGCCGCCAAGTATTGGATGTGTGAGTTCATGTGCCTGGCAAACATCGTGCTGCAGATATACTGGATGAACAAATTTTTCGCCGGAGAGTTCATTACGTACGGGCTGCGCGTCATCGGCATGTCTACCGAACATCAGGATAACCGGGTGGACCCAATGGTCTTCATATTTCCTCGGGTGACCAAGTGTACTTTCCACAAGTTTGGACCCTCTGGGACAGTGCAAAAGCACGATTCGCTGTGCGTGTTGCCACTGAATATCGTAAACGAGAAGACTTACATATTCATATGGTTTTGGTATCTACTGCTGTTGTTGGCGCTGGTCTTAATGATCTGTCACAGGTACATTTTATTTTCGTGGTATCGAGAACCAGGGAGGGGACGGGTGTTAACATTGCTTCCCCCAATA